GTTTGTTTTTCCATTTATCCATTTGAGAACGTTTGGGGTGATCTCAGCTTCCAGTTATTATAAAGAAAGCTGCTATGAACATTCCTGCAGGTTTCTGTGTGAACAGAAGGTTTCCTTTCTCTAGTATAAATACCCAGGGAAGTGATGGCTGAGTTATACACTAAATGAATGTTTCACTTTATAAGAAATTTGCACACTTTTTACTCAACTGCTTGTACCACTTTACATTCCCATCAACTATGTGTGATATTTACATATTTTTACTTAACAGCCTCACTGGCTTTTTTCCAGCATTTTTTATTTTAGCTAATAGATGTACGGTGGCATTGGTGTGATTATCATTCGTTGTATTTCCCTCTTACTGGTCTGTCAATTCTAGAAAGTCAGGCAACTTGTCCTGTTTAGGGCCTGACCAAGTTTCGAGCGCAGGAAATATGTGCCGTTTAGCTGAGAAGATGCAAGAAAGAACAAAGAAAGGAGGGGAGAACTGGAAGGTGGAAGGAGAGTGGGAAGAGGGCACAAAAGAAAAGGTGAGGAATCTGTGGGGCCACAGTGTTGGCTCAAATGCCAGGCTGTCGTTCTGTCCGCAACAGACTGCTGGACCCTCCAGTAATGAGAAATCTACAGCTGCCTGGGCGTCTGTCCCCGCGGTGGCACCCACATCCTTTAGAAACAAATGACGTCAGTGACGTGTAACCCCTTCCGTTCCTTAGTAAGGTCACACCTACCACCACCAGTCGGAAGGAACACATCTTAGTCCTTGACCCACAGCCTTGTCCTTGATTAATCAGGCCCATTTCTTCTCGCAGACTGAAAGAAGACTCATCTGCTGTGTAAAGGGGACCTGTTTTAAATTTTACATTAGACTTTTTTCTTGTTAAACCGCAGGCTCTTGTTTCACACTGGAATAAATATTGTGCCACTTTTGTGGGTGACAGGAGAGCGTGCATTAAATGCAAATTATCCCGACAGATCTTGGGTGTGGCTTGTGCACACATACAGTGCCAACTAAGGAAATTGGAGGGGAGGCTGTTAGACTTCTTTGTAACGGCCATTACCTTTTGCAGGTACCTTTGTCATTCATTCACCCGAATACTCCACATGGTTCATCCCCTCCAACCTCTTACCCACACCACAGCAGTAAACAAGAAAGCTGAAGCTCAGGGTTAGGGAGAAAAACAGAGATTGTAGGTATGATTTTTTAAAATCTCTTATTTTTGAGATCTCTTTCCACAGCTAATACAGCACCAATTCCGACGGCCATAGGACACGGTTTCTTTTCACCCGCAGTGCACATGTTTACTTGTCCTAATATTTGACATATATATTGTGTTCACTCATAAACGCAATTTAAAACATTAAATGAAAAATACCGTGAAAGCACTTTCTTTGCAAACTTCAAAGCTTTCTATAAACGTATGCCATTATTTTTGGTTGTCAATATTTAATGAAGTTATGTAAAATTTTAAGGGGGAAACTGGCTCAACTCATGCTTGCATCCCTACATTTATAGATTCCCCCCAATTTTCAATTTTTTTGCATTGCACCAATTCATCACTATTAGCCTGTGTCTATAGTTTCAAACTTTCCAAGGATATACAGCCTTGTCATCGTTTCTCAAATACCTCCTTCATGCCATGTAATTCATTTTAGTATATTCTTTTTATTTTAAAAAAGGTATGTTCCCTTTTATTTGCTCTCTGTAAATTGTACTAATTCTAGATTAATTTTTTTAAAAAGTGTTTGTTGGAAAAATAAAAAGCAAAAGAGGAATAGACCAGTGAACACAAACAAGCCCATATTTGGTGGGATGTGTTTTGCAGTTGCCCGTGAACAGCTTGGGATCTTCAGAAAACTGGTTACAGGAACCTGGGCATCTTTGCTGGGAGTTATATGCCCCAAAGCTTGTTCCTTGGGGAATGTTCCTCCACTACCACATAGTACAGTGGTCAATGAGTGTGGGTAATGATTCACACTACGTAACTTCTCTTGGACCTTCAAATGCACATTTATATATTAAAGTCAGAAGTTCTGCAGTCAGCCTGTTAAACTTTGTAACAATTTTCCATAACTCTATAGTTTCCATGGAACACAGCCGGGCCAAGGGAGTTAGGGATGCTGCCATGAGTCCATTCAACTGACCATTTTCTCCTCCTAAAATGCCAGCTTGACTCTGCTGGATTTGGATACAACTGTTGATCAAGGTCCTGCAGGACTAAGATGACCAAACTAACATATAAACTAGGTTCGTGGTCCAAATAATCTATGGAGAAGCGATGGTCTATGATGATAAGGTTTTCATTAGCTAAAAGGTTGCAAGAATAGTATTTTTTAAAAAACAACAACTCCTATATCCTTAATCCAGCGTCCTCAACTGTTACCATTTTAGCCTATTTGAATGACCATACTCTCTTTGTAGACAGACAATAGATAAATATAGATTGGATTCTTTTCTAAACCCTGAGAATCTGAAAAAGTTGAAGACATATAGCAATATTCATCAAATGTCTCAAATATTTATTATTAAATGAAAATCGTCAAAAATATACAATTACTAAGTCTGTAATTTCAGTTATAGTAACTTATTGTAAGGAAATACTCATTGATATGAAAATGTTTTAATTATAAGAAAGTTAATCACAACGATGTTTATCATACTGAAAAACTGGAAATGGCCAGTATATCCAACAATAAGTGTTTGGTGGAGCCAATTGTACCAGCAACTATATCCTGCTTTATTTGCCTTTCTGTCTGCCACTAGTCATTGTCATTGGCCTAGACAGCCTTTACGAGAAAGTTCAAACTCTTAGTAGGTCTGCTGCTGTTGACTGTATCACTGTTCTCACTGCTAGGGCTCCTTTGATCCCGTCTGATACTTCTTCAGAGAAACTGATCACTCAAGACACCCTCAACCCTGCGTGGCCTTGATGAGTATTAGTTGCATCATTCATGCTCCACCTGCATTAAGGGTCAAACTAGGGACCGCTGTACCTGGTTTTCCCTCAGGTCTCAGGCAGTCCTAGCCTAGGGCAGATAATGTGACCTAATCCAGGGCAGCAATGAAAAGCTTGCTGTTCCGGAAGGTCTTTCAGTGTAAGAGTAAACTAACTTAGAATATAATCGGAATCCTACTGATTATAGATAGATAGATAGGCTATCCTAATTTCAAATAGTCAATTCCTCACAATTATATATATTCATAAGAATTCTCAGCAGAATAATGCCAGCTTTATTCTTAGTAGCATCAACTGGAAAAATAGATTCTGGTGGCTCCAAAAATGCAAACTTCCAAAAGCAGTGTACCCTTTTCTAGCCAGTATGTTTAGCTTCCTTACCAAGAACAAACAAAGATAAAATTACATAATTTCCAAAGGAAGTCATTTTACTTTGACATCTCGGATTTAGATGTTCTGAAGTAAAAATAAACATAAAATTTCACATAGAGAATGTCTGAGATTATTATATTTCTTATATAAATATTTGGATGGAAAAATCATAGTCTGATATAGCAATTATGAAATAAAAATAAGAAAAGTTAACTATAAAATATGCCTCATAAATATTACAGACATTTCATTATATGGATTAAATTCTTAGAATCAGGAAGGAAACACACCAAAACATAACATTTATTTAAAAGGCAATACAGTTAGTACTGAAGGCATTGCTTGCTGGGAAGAAAGGGCTTAAACATGAAATAGGAAAACGCAACGTGCTTAATCGATTTCCCTGGAGGCATCAGTACGGAATCACTTGCTTCTCTCAAGGCGAGGTACCACACAAAAATTTACCTTTACTTAGTTTATTCGTAGGATTTAAACTTAAGAAATGAGGAAAGGACACAAAACAAGGTTTAGCTGAACAATACAAAGAGAACCAAAAATGTCGTAAGATTTTCAATTGGTAACAATTTTATTGTGGAAAGTTAGTCTATTACCGAATATAAAAATAAATCTGCAATAGCAACTGTGACTCAAGTTGAGCCAGTAGGCAGTGCGTGTGACCCCGACGGCATCAGGGAGTCAGGG